ATCGTCGATGCTGTCGCCTCTCGTCGTTGCCTTGGCGAGCGTCTCCATCAACCCCTGAGGCAGGTTTCCCTGCAATTGTTCGCGCTCCTGCGCCAGGGTCGGCTCGCCCATCAGCACCGTCTGGAATGACGTGCTGCTTGAGCTCGAGGCGGGTTGCCCCGCAGCTCCAAATCGATCACACCTGATCGACAGATGCCCTGACGGCAACTTCGTCGTCGGCATGATCTTGGAGCCCTCGGGGGGCTCCATCTTGACCTGTCCCTTCCCAGGGAATATCAGCTTCTCCTGGCCTCGTTCAAGCACAATGATCGCGCGTTTGTCCTGCATACTATCGAGGCCTAGGATGGCTGGCAGGTCTTTGCCACAGCCTGACACAATGTTCGTCTTGTACGAATCGAGCTGGGTCGAGCCCTGGTACTCGCAGGCAATGCTGAATGTGCCTACGGTATCCGCTGGGGCCGACCCTTCGCCCACCCCGTTGATGTTCAAACGAGAAAGGGGTTCGAACGTGCAAGTACGGCCGTGTGCCTCAGCAGCCTGGACAAACTTGCGGCTCGTGTTTTCACCCATGATGTTGATCTTCGAGCCTACATCGATGAGGATAGAGTTTCCACCATCGTCCAAGAAAGTCTTACTAGGCTGCTTGATGTGCACGGTTTCTGAAGTGTCGGCTGTGCTGTCTGGCGGGTTTCCCCGCGAGTCGGTCGTACTCCCTGGCGGGTTACCCCGCGTGACGCTGGCATACGGCCTGCCTTCGGCCATACGTACCAGGTCGATGTACTGGAAGTACGACACGTGCTGAACGTGAGCGCCACGCTCCTCCCGCCAGTTGGCATACTCATCACGTATGCTCTTATACTGCTCGCGGGTCGTGCGTCTCGTCAGCGTCAGATACGATTGAAGGGCAATGTCCTGCAGCCCTTCATTCGTGAGTTGATCCCTGTACTGCAGCCACTCCTCGAACTCCTCGTTCGTCGCTGTGACGTCGACGGCCCTGGCTGCTGTTGCTGCTGTTGCCACTGAGGAATCTGAGAGGTCAAACGACGCACCATCAGTCTCAGGATTGTCGGCATCCAGCATAAAGGTTGTGTGCGCATTATCCATTTGATTCTGGAATTGTCGAACACGCAACTCACGCAGCTGATCAGGGTCCAGTGCCAGCCTTGCCCCGCCCCCACTCTGGGGAGACATCTGAGGAGTGTTAGGCAGGTTTCCCTGCTGAGGCACCGTCATCGGGATAAGCTGATCGAAGTATCCCGTCTCCATCGGCGGCCTCACCTCCTCTGGCAGGTTTCCCTGCTGCTGGGGCTGAGCTGTCTGCCTGTCTAGCATCCTGGCTGTCATCTCCTCCGCCATGCTCCAAATCTCCCGCAGCTCCCCCGCTGCTTGCTCAGGAGTCTGAGTGAAAGAGCCGGTCCATGGGAATGATGACGCTATAATGCCAGGTGCTCGGCAGATAGCACATGGTGGCTGCTGAGGATCTCCCTCGCGCTGGTTTGCGACGTGGCCCGCCACATTTGAATTCCAGCACTCCTCATGGAATAAGTGATTACACCTCAAACGGTAAACGCTCTCCCTGGGCTGAAATTCTTCGAGGCATACCGCGCAGGTATCTTCCATCCCAGTGAAAACTTCCACATCCGCTGCTCTGGGATATACCCGCCGCTGTCTCTCCAAGACCGTCTCGGAGGGCATGAAGGCTGCCGGGGGATCCCCTGATGGATCCAGCACCTCCGGCACTCCGGCAGCTGCAGCTGGATGAGCTGCTGGCGCAGAGGCTGTAGGCGTCACAGCGGGCGAGTTTCCTCGCATGGGTGAGCCTCGGTTCCTCGCAACCTCAAGCGCGGCTGCGCGTGAATGATCGCGCGCGTTCTGCACGGCCTGTCTGCGCCTAAAGCATGCCTGTTGGGTGTGGCATGTCTGCCTGATATAATCAGGCACACCTCTGCTGCCAGACGATATCGAATGGGCAGTGGGCTGGACAGCCACATCTGGCGTCGTCGGCGCAGGCATAAAAAGGCCATGTGCGGATACATGGACTGATCACTACAGCGCACGTTAGTGAGGCTGTGGAATTGATCCGCCAGTTCACGAACAAACTTGTTCGGGACTCTGGACCCATCAGGGTACAGTGGCTGATTCATGTGTGCTGGCGGTGGCCTCTGGCCCTGGGCCATGCTCGGGTGAGCATTGAAGGCTGGGATGAAGGCTCGTTGCCGAGCAGGATCCCTTGGATTGGGACCCTCAGGCTCCCAGGACCAGGCCGGCCTCCACCTCTGACCACTCGGGCGAGGCAGGTTATGACTCTGCACCTGCTGCACAGCGGCTGCCACCCTTGCGCGGTAGTCTCCAGGCACACCAGCGACAATGGTTTGACCAGCAAACGGTCGAGAATGGCCTGGGGTGCCGGGCAGGTTTCCCTGCTGACTCGTTGGAGTGCCAGGCGGCATCATGTTCAGGAGAGCTGTGCCATGCTCAGCACTGGCCGCCGCGATCCTCTCCATGAGGGTGCCACTCGTGGCAGGGCGACCAGGAGTCCCGAACGGAGACTGCGCAGGTGGCGTCGCCATTGGGGTCATGCCCCTCGGTGTGTGCATACTGGGCGAGGGGCTACCATGCATCTGCTCGAATCGAGCAGGCTCTCCAAAGATGCGGCCGAACGTCCGCGGGTCTCCCTGCGGCTCAGGTATCTCATTTCTGAATCCATTTATAGGCAGGTTTCCCTGCATGGCCTGACGATTTCGCGTCGCCATGGCGGACGTTGCTCCCTGGCCGGCGGCCCAGGGGTCTTGTTGATGCAATCGGTCCGCCAATTGCTCCACCTGTTCAGGGTTCAGAGCGGCCGCTATCTGGTCCAGGTCCGAGGTGATGATGGCCTGCCAAGATATGGCGCTAGGCCCTTGGCTTGGGGCGCGGCTTGGAGCCGCGCTCCCGGCCTCACTCTCGGTGATCATGAAGATCTGGTGGACCTCAGGCTGGTTTCCCAGCGTGGCGGGGCTGTAGTGGTCCCCAACCTCCCTGTGGAGGTCGACCATAGGAGGGTCGACGCCCTCTTGGTCGCGGGACCACTGGTATTTGACGCTGGCGTTGCCAACGTCAGCCCACCTGCCAGGGGCCGAGAGCACGGCGGGGGGGACACGCGCCGGCGATCCCCAGGTACTCTGGATTGCACCAGTGCCTCCCCGTGGCAAGGTCCTCTACATGGGAAATGTAGTATGGTTCGATGATACCGCTATTTCCCTCGGACAAAAGGACTCCGTCATCAGACCAACAGAACTTTGTACCATCTTGCATGGCCTTGTGCCAATCTACAAAGATGATGATGTTGGAGTCTGGGTCCCACCCACTGTTCGCGCTACGACGGCGGACCGTCGGCGCGAAGTGGATGTGTGACCGGCCTGTCCCCCAATTTTGTATCTCATCCTCAGTTCTTTGAGGCGCTCAAAATCATGCAGGTCGTCGTCAACCTCTGTCACTTTGTAGGACTGTAGGATGTGCCAGTAGATCTGGCGTCATTTGAGCATGCGTCCGGCTGTGTGCTCTCTGGTTCGATGAGCCTGATCTGGTAACGCAAGTCGGAAGATAAGATGTCGCTGAGAGCGGTAGCGAGTTTGCAATCGATGCTCTCGAAGTCTCCGCTGTCTTGTAAGTCTTCGAAGATACATTCGGGCTGTTCAGCCACGCATAGGAAGGCATATGCTTTGGATGGTCGCCCTGAAGCGGCCCCAAAATTCTTCCGTACCTTTTGCTCCCACTCAAGCAGCTGTGTGATCTTAGGCAAGACAGGGACTCGGACGGTGCCTGACTCCTTGCTCGGAGTAGTAGTATTGACCGAAACCGCAGACAATGGTTGTGAGGGTATCGGTACACCGTCGGTAGTTGGTTCTGTGCGCACAGGAGACACATGACGTGTCTGTGCCGAAGCTGCCGCGGAGGCTGCTCCTGGTGACGTACGTCGTTGTTGTCCTGCAGAAGCGCGTGGTGCTTCAGCGGACGCTGCCGTCGGCCTGGGCAGGTCGGTTGCAGGCTGAAGGTGAAGTATGGTGTCGTTGGTGTGGTCAATCAGCTGATTTGTCCAGCTCGTCATATCTTCGTGTATCTGGTCCACTTTGTGGCGTGTGTACTCGTCAGTATCCCGAGAGCGTTGTGAATACCGATCAAGTCGTTGCTCGTAGGCTCGGAGACGGGCGTTGTGTGTCTCCAACTCACTGTCCAGACGTGTGAGACACTCCTCGACACGTACCTTTTTCAGCCTCTCTTTCACGAAAAACCTGGGAGAGCTCAGACTGCGCGTGGTCCGCCGCCTTCTCAACCTCCTGCAACCTGTCAGCGAGGCGGGCGAAATCGTAAACCGTGGGAGGAGAATCCAGCTGGCCAGTCTGGGTTCGTCCGACACGCAACTCTGCCAGGGCGTCCTGTACACCAGGGAAACGCTGCTCGATTTCAGAGATCCGGTGAGTGAGTGGCTGCACGACAGCGTTGGTCGCATCAAGCCTTTGAGCGATAACCCTCTCAGTGTTTTGCAACATGCCGATCAGGTTCGACGAGTTGGTGTTTGCTTCGGTGCGAAGCGTCGCTGTAGTGTGGTCCATGTGGGATCGAAGATCGTTGATCTGAGACTGGACATCGCCAAGGTCAGTGGCCTCGGCTGGTGGCGGTCGGTTGCGGAGCTGGTCGTGGATCTCGTCATGGAGGATCCTGACTGCTGAAACGCCTGTGTCACGGACGATCACAAGCTGTTGCTCCATCTGCGCAGGGTAGTTGCGCAGGTGCTCGACCGTCGCTGATCGTTCACCTGAGTGTGACGTCTCACGGTCAACCTGGTACTGCAGCTCACCTATGATGCGGCGATCTTAAGCGATCCTGAAATCGATGATCGCTAAGGCGCCGTCGAAATCTTGGCGTAGAGCAGCAGTATTGGCAGCGTTCGTCTGAACGCTCTGCATCAGTCCAGAGTACTGTCTGGACACGAAGGTTTCAACCTGGTCTCTGAGCTCAGCTATTTCACCTGCAGCGGACGTTTTGCGGTCTTTGCGGTCGACTGTGCGAGCCGCCAGGCCCGGTCGCAAGCAAGAAACGGGCAACATACAGGTGAGCCAAACCGCCCACCACACGCATGCGGCAGGGAGCGAAGCTCTTATTTTGAACAAGTGGCCGTCAAGCGAAGCTCTTATACGACACACGTGCATGCATGAACACACAAGTATGAAGAAAGCAACGCAATCACAAGTCACAAGTTCAAACTCAAAGTATGTGTGAAGAACCCGTGGAAGAACATCAATGATATGTTCAATCGCCGACAATTCGGCATCAGTAACTGAAACATTGTTGTCGGTAGAGAAAGCAGCACTATATACCTCCGTCCACACAATATCTCTGGAGCTCGGCTTACGACACGTCCGCGAGACACGACCGACATCAATCCAGCAACCGACTCCGACACCCGCCGTCGACACTCCTCCATCGAAGCCAATCGATGGCACAATGCCTGTAAAGATTCGAATGCTCGTTGGGCTGCTGCCCGCTACAATCCTGAAATATGTCGATGCCCTCCCGGGCAGTATGAGTGAGCACGTCCGCCCTTGTATTCCATTCCCTGAAGCAGTGTTCGATAAGGTCTCGTCCAGGAGCAAACGGGCGCATGCAAAATATAAAAGACATACCATCCAGACGATGTATGATCCTGTCAAACCTTCTCTGGCAATATTTGTTGATAGCCTGCCAGTATCCCTGGCACCATGATACAACCAAGAGACTATCTCCATGGATACTTATGGGGACTCCGAAGGCCTCAAGATCCCACTCGGCATTTTCCTATTTGGATGTGTGTACAGCAAGTCGTTTAGCTAGACGATCATTGGCAGTTTGTGATCCCTCCTCAACTCCATACTCCTGAAGCTCCTGCTGTGTTTGGATATGGACCTCCCCAGTAGCCCTTGGATGACTATATGTTTTGGCACGGATCTGGAAACAGTCAAGCATTTCCCGAGAACAAACGCGTGCGGCGAACTGCCCAAAGGCCCCAGGAGTAGCACGGAAATCTTCCCACCACTTGGGTCCAAAGAACTCTGACAACATGTGCGCCCAGTGTCTCTGTCCGATAGCTAGGCCCCCTCCCCGCTGGCGTTTCATCGGACTGGGTTCACGAAGGTAGAAATTCATGCGAAGGAACTCCGAGGCATCCGTACGTATACGATCCCACATCGCACCATATGCACACAAGCACGCACGTACGTCACGCCAAGTCCGACCTGCACTCCTCCACTCATCATATGTGTCCGCCTCGAGCACGTGGATAAACTCGCGCATATCTTTGGCCAGGTTCCAGGAAACACGAAGAAACCTCTGAACCAGGGAAGCGAAACCCATCTCCTGAAACTTCCTCCTGGCTTCCGAGTACCTCCTCCGACTCCACGTGGCCACATCCTCCTCGGGTCCCCTGGGACAAGTGAACATTTTGCAAAGACAGAGCCCTTCGAAGGAACGCATGCGCTGAATAGAATGATTGTCGAGTGTTATACCCTCGATACCGCACATTGCAATACCTTGTACCTTCTCCTCATACCTCCAAAATTTATCTCTAATACTCACAGCAAAACGCCTGGAATAGTTGGACATGCCATAGAAGCTCTTGCGTGCCATGGACAGACGATGATCCACATCAGGATGTGTAGGAGTATTGAACTCAGAATGGATCTCGACACCGAGCACATTCATCGAGGAAACTCTTCTGAAGCGCAGAACCTCAGATGTGGTAACTATGAGGTCCTCCTCTGGTAAGATAACGCCATCAGCATTAAAACGAGGTGCGAGGCCACATGTCATGAAGAGCAATGATGACGCCTTCCACGTCATGCCAAAAGAAGCGAGTGGTAATGTTAGATCGTGAATCATGATCCTGAGATCTGCGGCCGAGCCGGCTACGAGATAGACATTGTCAGCCCAGAGGAAGTGGCTGATGAGGATCTCCTTACGCATGGACCCAAAGAGTCCCTCGACACGGTGGCCCATTCTGTCCCAAGATCTGAAGACCTCGGCCCACATCGCCACGACAATCAGGTTGAACACCAGGGGCCCCTCGGGCCCCCCCGTACGTATGCACCTACCCCAATGGAGCCCGGGAATTTCCATCCCTTCCACGATCACAGTACCTATAGTACCACATAACGGGGCCAGAAGAGCATATTGAAGATATGGAGGTACATGTGCATGTTGTAAACCTTTTCTCACTTTTGCTAGACTACAATGGTCGAACGCCTGTTTGATATCCGCATTCACGAAGTACACGCTCTCATCCTTTCCCCACGTATCCCCGTGTTGAGCCAATGATTTTAGACTGCTAGTAATTTCCCAAGTCTTACGTGCCTCCTGAACCCATAGATGCCCAAATTATGGAATAACCCAGAAAGCTGAACGAAGTTCTCTGTAAGGGTAACCACACAGGCCGAGTACCAGCGAGATATCGCATTTTGCATTACCAGGTATCGACCCTCGGACAACGCAGTAAGGCCAGGCACCTTAGGCATGACCGAGATCAGCACCTCCCTCCACCCGTCAGGATAGTTCTGAGGGCACGTGAAGATACGATCGAAGAGTAACTGAATGGAGCGAAGAGCGGACCAGGGGAGAGCACGAAGTATTTCCGTTGGCACACGGTCGGGCCCTGTCGCCCGCAACGTATTCAGGCGACTTCGCGCCCTGCAAAGAATAGCCATGCTGATGTACTCCGTACACCGACCGTCCTTGAAATTGGACACAGCCTCCTTCCTCAACTCCTCCAACATCGCGATGCTCTCCTCCCTCACCTCCTCCGACGAATACTTTGCAGTAGAATAGTCCTGAACCTCCCGCCTCCACTCCTCCCTGTCCTCCGTCACCATCCCGTCTATGACAAGGTGCTTGATGCGGTGGCGAACCTTGCGTCTCGAAATGGGACTGTCCCACTCGGCAAGTGCGCGTCGGTAGGCCCTGCGATAACGATTGCACACCACTCTGAGCTCTCTGCGCTCCTCCTCCGACAAGGGTGGCACAGCGCGACGTAGCCTCTCAAGGCCACGCTGCAGCTCAGGCGGACGAACGGGCGGCAAACCTCGGCCCAACTTAGCCGTCGCGCAGTTCACGTTCTCTGCATTCGTGAAAGCGCTCAAGAACCTGTCAGATAGATCCCCAGGAGAACACGATACAGTGGCATCCCCAAGAAACCCATCGATACGTCTCCGAGCCATATCCTCATCCTCCCATGTAAGACATTTAAACCCGACCAGAGAACGTTCACGAGCGGCAACTCTAGTAAAGGAGCGATGGATCTCCACACCTGGTTTGGAGAAAGCACCCTGCACCAGAGCATGATCACTCAATCTGGACCGATTCGTAGATCCCCCGTTGCGGAATATGCTTTTGACCAGGATATCCGCAATTTCCCACTCCCTCGGAATCAGGATATAGTCCAGGACCTTTTTGGAGGTACCCCATCTCGTGGCCCCATATGCTTCCCAAGTATGGAGTCACTCAGCTTGAAACGTGTTCGCCGCCTTCAACCCCAGGCGGGCGAGAAATCCTAAGAAGTTACTGCGAAGCCGTTCTCTGCAATCCCTCCGTTCCCGTTGAGCACCTCCTTCATTAATAATCCTCCTCATCACCTTCGTAGCTCCACCCACCGCCTCGTACTCCTCCCCCGTGCGCGCACATGTGACACGGGCATGAGGTGGCAACTCAACGCTGGCATCCGTGAGCAAGACAAAGCTGGCCTTGCACCATCTGCCTCTCAGAGAACGCACGACACTCTCAAGTTGCTCAAACGCGGATATCTGGATATCCTCACAATTAAGAACACCTGGATCAAGTAGATACATACTGAAAACCACCAAAGGAGACTTCCCACTGCCGAAAACGATACCGCAGAAACGACCAAATTCGCATATACAATGTCGGATGGACGCCGCCCACTCATCACTAAAAAAATAGCACACCTTGAACACCTGCTGGATCTAATACCCAAGCGTAGTCTAGTAAGTACTGCATTGCATTTACCCCCAACGAGATTTTGTGTCTCATGCAAGCCGAAGAGCGAACCCCTGATCTTCAAAGCCCTCAGGATCTCTTTCCAACGGAAATTTGTAGTGCCAGCCCTATTCAAATTCCAAGATCCCACCTGGAGCCCTGAAAACGAACTGGATCTAGAATGTTGTCGTCAGGCACGCCGGTTCACTTCAGCCTCGACCTCCGAACGATCTCTAGAGAACGCTGGGTACACACGCTGAAGCTTCGCGAAACCGTCAACGCTGACCTCCCACAAGGACTTGGTGGTAGTGAACTCTGCCAGCATGATGGGACGCTCACCTGAGTTCTGAGGAATAGTCCAGATCGTGGAACGAGGAGGGCCCATCTCGCCTTTGATCGCAAGCATGGGCATGCGGAGGTCGGTGCATATCGAGCGAATCGTTCCACAGAAACGGCTGACAGCTTTTACATGATCACGTTTCCAACTCGGACACTCCACCGTCGCACGAATGAGAGAGGGGTCGAACTTCTGACTAACACCAGCAACAAGCACCTGAGGCGGCTGAATAGTAATGCCTGGGGGTGGCGGCACACGGTTCTCAATAGCTGCGGCAACCCGATCAATGTCACGTTTCACGCGCCAGATCACATCGCGATCAGTGCCGCGTTTGAACTTAATATTGAAAGAACCGAACATCTACCTCCCTGCATTCACCCTCTCCGTGGCATCAAGACAAATGTATGTGGCGTCATCTTCTCCAAGGATCTTAATAACATTGTCAACAATTTGCTTACAGTCGGACCACATGAGCATCTGTTCAGAACGAACGGTGCGGTCATTCCAGTTAGTGACCCAGCCTTTGAGTTCTATATACGTTGGCGTGAATAATGACGGACTGACTGCATAACCTGTCCAAGATGCGGCCACTGGAGCACCGCCGCTACTGGGCCCTGATGTGGTAGACGCACTCTTCTGCAGATTACTGACCATAGTCTCAAGTGCTGTCTGACGATTCTGAAGACTGGCGATGGCCGAACCCTGCTTCTCAACGGTAGCTTCAACACGTTTGAACTGCTCTTTTTGACCCTCGATACTCTCTTTCATGGACCCCGTGGAATCCTCAAACATATACATCATTTTATGGAACATCGCCTCGACACCCTCTTTCCCCTCCAACTCACGAGCCCTAGTCCTCTCCTTCTCTTCTCGATTACGTTTCTGAAGGGGGGCTGGTCATGCATGGTAGCGTCAGCGGCAGCCATCTCGAAGGATCTCAGAGGAGGTGCACACCACGATTCAAGCCACTCGTCGTCCGTCTGCAACTGAACACCCCACTTTCTGAGCCAACCCTCGTCTACAGACTAGATCAGATCAGCTTCTGATGCCGAACGCTGGCAATGTCGAGATAATACCTGACGAAACTGATACGGAGACAATGTTCGCCGCACTGCCGCCCACAGTCGATACAACAAGAGGGAGATAAGGAGACACAATACACAGAGACAAATAAGCAGCAAACAAACAAAGAGAAGCGGCGGCTGCTGGAGGTGTGGAAGTCGTCGCACTCCACTGTGGCGCCACGGCGCCCCGCGGCACGTCCCACGACGAGGGCGACAGCCCTAGGCCTCGGGACCCTGAGCCGAGATTTCCCGAGCCGGCAGGTCGTCTGAGAAGGAGAGGTGGGGAGCGTCCGCTTCCCTCTGCATCCTCTCGCGAGGAGTGCATGGCCTCTGAGAGGCGGCGCGCGGGCTCGACCTTGATTCGTCGTATGGGCCTGTGGCCCCGCGACGGTTGCGCAAGGACGAGCTACGGCTAGGGCCGTGTGCGCGTGGTGTCTGACGAGATGATACCTGGGGATACTGCGTCTGCGGCTGCGCCGCCACTGGTCTACTGAGTTCCTCAAAGGTAGCAACGTGCTCCACTACAGGAACGGTCGCAGGGCTGGTCATGCCAGCACCTGTGTTCCATCGGCGGTTAGCGCGAAAGCGCCCTGGAGTATCAGGACCAGCGGGGCTGGCGCCCGACGCAGTCGGGATTGCTCCCGACGGAAGAGGAGATGGAGGATCGAAGGTAGGCGTGTGAAACTCTCGACTGCCTGCTCCTACTCCTTCTCCTGCCCCCCCGCGGGCGGCGTGGCGGTGAAGTTCAGCAGCTAGCCGCGCCTCGGGCCCGTCTGAGCTGGGGGGGGGTACCTGGGACACCTACACGGTCCACACTGAGGCTCTCCAACTCATCACCGAACCGTCGCGCCGTCGGAGAGCTCGGACGCGAGGCCCCGACGGACCCCTTACGGCGCATGCGCCGCTTGGGCTCCATCGATGCCGCGTGCGAGATCGCGACGCGGGGTTCGATGAACTGTGAGCTTCAAATGGCTGATAACCTGTGTATGGGTTTGGAGTACAAAGGTACAGAACCCCTGGTCCGGGACACTGATCCGTTGGTAGAGGAAAGGAGGGGAAGATGGATATCTTTTCCTCCTGCACGATCAAAGGTCTGATCGATCTATTCCAATACCTGAGCCCAAACGGCCAGGCGCAGGAGAGGTGAGGACAAGGAGTTTATATGAGGGTATTATACGGGTTCTATTCACAAGGGGCGTGCGAGCTCAGGGACCTCCGTGAAGAGCTCAACCGCGTTGCGGCGATGATGACGGGCACCGCGGCAGTCCCGATGGCGACACCAGCGGGGCAACCAGCATCACCAGCCAACGCGGGGCTAGTAACGGAGGCAACCACACTTGCAGGGACACCTGCTATAGACATGCCTCTGCCATTGGTGGCAGAGACCGATAACAATGCAGGGGCACCTGCTAAATCAGCTCCACCTTCGGTGCCGGTGTACGATACGTAGTTACTTAGTTGAGGCGCATGGGAAGGGCTGCCGACAGGAGCGCTCAGTGGCTTCAGTCTTCGCACGCACTA